TTTATTTGGCGTTTTCTATTTTTGTTGTCATTGTTGTTCTGTGTGTTACAAGGAACCCGCGCCGCAGACAAATGGCTCGACGTCTCGTCTGATGACAGACGACAGCTTAATAAATCTGATCAAATCACGTTAGTAAGAGGTGCGATCAAAGAAATAGCACACGGTGGCATATTTGCACATGACTCGTGATATTGAAATGTTGGTGTCCAGCACGTATACACAGGGGCGCGCACATTTGTGCTTTGGTCCCTTTCTGACCCATCGACGCCAACGATAAACTTAAAACAGTCAATTAAAGTCAAACGGTGGTTTCCACATATGCATTATTTATGTGTGGCGGGCCGTCGCTCATCGATTTCGGCGCTCCCCGCCAATTTGTAACCGATGCATTAACTTTCTTTTGCTGCGCAAAGATGCCGCCCTGCTCCTCATAAATTCACAAGTTCTTCATTAAAATAATTTTGAAAAGCTTCTAACTGAAGTATTTTGAAAGCAGCGGCATTGCTACCCAAAGTCAAGCTCTGTTCACTTCTTAACTTATTTTTAAAATGAGTCCTTTGACAGCCAGCTGTTTTCTTTTAGTCCTCTAACTGTATCGTGATCCATAATATGGTGGTTGACACTTAAAAGCGCCTTGGCAAAAGAGAGGCCAGTGGATACAGTGGACAAGAAAAGGGACTTGATGGGTTCAACTGGAATTGAAAGCAGTTTTTAGTTTTCACAGGCTAGAGGAGAGAGAAATGTCAAGTAGGTTTTTTTTTTCTTTTTAGCGAGGCAGCAGCTGAAAATATTTTCACCCGAATGAAAAACCAGTTCTGGGAAGCCACTTCATGCTTTGACCGAAGCAGCCAATGAGCAATACGTTCGAAGAAATGAGTTCAATTTAATACAGTATAATAAACAAAATGACTATTGAGCCTGCAGTCACGAGAGCAGTGGTCTCAAACTCCAGTCCGAGAGGGCCACTTTCCTGCATGCTTTCCATCTCTCCCTGCTGCAACACATACGATTCCAATGATCAGGAACCTTATCAGGCTCCTGCAGAGCTTGCTGATGACCAGGAAAGTGGCCCTCAAGGACCGGAGTCTGAGACCCCCACCCTAAATAATTGTTCCATATACCAGATAGTATTCTATAGACTATAGCTTTTTGTTTTCGATGTGGCCCTCTGACGCAGCTCGGTTCATAAGCCACTGCTAGAAGAGATCCAAACAAAACGTCGACCATCTGAACAGATTCCAAGAGATCATTTCCAGTTTTGCCTTTCAAGTCAACTTTCAACTTGACTTAGTCTAATAGAAATCACTCTGTGCAACACAACATCTGCACTGTTAGATACATTTAAGGATGATGATTTAGATCGACCAAGAAGAACATGTAAGAGCTGCGCTACATTTGAACAGAAACTGCCTTAATTTGACACCGCAGAGACACGCCATACAAAACAAGACCACACTCAGCTGTTTGTTTGATCTCAACAACATGACTTTGTAAAAAAAAAAAAAAAAAAAACTTTTTCCATTGATTCCAAACTGCATATACTGAGCTAAATCAAGCGGAACAATTGGCATGCCTTTGTTGATGGTTTATGAGGGAAAAATATGACTGGAGGTAAAGGCATTGATACGACTGAAAATGACTTTCATTTTTTTTAAACCGTAGCCCCGTTTAACCACAGAGTGTATACCTTCACCAACCACCCCTCAACCACCTTAAAATAACGGCTTTCAAAAAGTAATGAAATGATCAGACAGTGCCTGGAGAGACGTTTTCAGAGGGATACTGTTAAAAAGCGATGACTGCTTTATAGATTCAATAAGTCTCCTACACCCGTGTGGTTAACCACCATCGATCCATCACTCTGTAGAGCCCAATCCAATTTAGAAAGCCAAGGAGCCCCAGAGCCCTAAAGCCTTATCCTAACCCAGGCGCACCTACCACAAAGCCTGCTTACGTTCATCCCTTCGAGTCGGGTGTGTCTGTGTACTTTTGTATGTGTGCAGACCCAGCTAAATAAAAATAATAAAAAGAGCAGGCGCGCTCTGAGCGACGCGGCAGAATGCTAAACTGGACAAAGGATGGATACAGTATCCGTAAGGCTCTTGGCAATAACTGCTCAATTCATTTACTTGAAAAATGCACTGCGGTTCAAGATATTTTCCATGCTTTGCTTTTTAGCCACGGATTGAAATGAAATTGTAAATCTAGTTCAGTATGATTATAAAAGAGTTCTTTGAATACAGTACTGCATGATGGTTCAGTGGCTACATTGTATAGCATCATATTAGGGGTAAAATGTTGCCCGCTCGGCATCCATTACAGCCCGGTCACCCAGGAAGGGGGATTCCCCCATCTGTGGCCCCTTCTCAAGGTTTCTCATCTTTCCCCAGTTTTTTGTTGTAGTTTCCTTGGCAAACTGTGGGCATGTGAAGCCCTATAAGACTTTTCTGTGATTAAGGGCTATCGAAATTACTTTGACTTGACCTCTTCAAGTTTAAGTGTGCAGTGCCTATTTAGTTCTTCAGGAAAGAGAGACTGATGAGAGAATAGAAGAGTTGGGTAAAATATGCCGTTCGACGATGGGGAGAAAACAATGCCGTTCATGTTAATCCGTGCTGTGCCATACTTAAAACGGCTTGTAATGTTCACATTCAAGAAGCCTTCCTTCGACATGAATTGCAGTCTCAGGAAGCACAGATTCTGCTCTGTGACTCTTTGCCGCTTCACCAGAGTGCAGTGACAGTCCACATAAGATCAATTATAAAAATCTCTGGGAAAAAAAGTTGCCATTTAAGTGGTGTGAACATAAAAGCCGCTGTTTCGGTAGCCGTACCGCTGCATAAACATTGCCGCGAAAGCAGACCGATGGCTAGGTTTAACTCACTGAAAGGAAAGCGTGGGGATAAAAGCCCTCGATTTTCTCGTGAGGTAGGTGGGCAGGGAATTATGAGTGATGGGCTGAGGCACAAGTGTAGACTTCATACCAATAACAGGCAATTATGTTTGGGGTGGGCCACCGTCAGGCCATGAGAGTATCGAATAAGACAGCGGGGATACGGGGATGGTAGGGAAATGTGGAGGAGTGTTATTTAGGAGGCAGATGGTAGAGTGGGGGAAATTAAGATGAATGGGCACTGAGAGGGCTGAGCTGGTGTTTGGGCAGGGCAGAGAAAAGTAATTAGCGGTTTGCTTTGGGTCCTTCGCATTGAACGCTAGGCCTGCTATGCGGACAAGGCTTTAGGTTGACGGGTCATTAAGGCCACGTCTGCAGCTACCGACTGGCTAAACTGGTCCGAGCACACTTGCGAGTGCTTATTACTCTCACAATTCATATCAGAGGCATTACGAAACGGTAACTTTGTGAGCCGCATTGGTCGTCACCATAACGTTAATACCTAATTCTGTCATGTACAATCTTTGTCAAAAAAAAAAAAAAAAACAATCACGCATACCCCCCCCACACACACACACATCCCAGAGTCCCAGAATGCTGATATTGTTTCTTACTGTATATTACAAATTTGTTTCAGGCATACCAACTGCTTCAATCTTTCTTCCTCGCACAATTTGTCTTTATTTCTGATGCTGCAGCCACCTCGATCTGTCTTTTTCCTCCCACACTGTATATCTCCCAACCCTTCATCGCTTTCCAAAAGCAGCACAACTGAGCACGGCCCTTTATCATTGCCGTCAATGATGTGGGCGGACTGAGCTTGAATAATTTTATTCGTGTGTGTGCCGTACCTCAGCCATTGGGGATTTCAATTACAGGTAATAAAAGGTAAAAGGGCCACAGCGTAAGTGGCACAGGCATGATTGTGGAAAACCTTTGAGAGAAAGTAATCAGACGTCGAGGTTTGCTTATGCTTAAAAGCTACCTGAACATCCCGAGCCATTAAAAGCCAACAGGAAGATTTTATCTATCTTCTATATTTAAATTAATATTAAGTAATATATAATGTACAAACGCTTTGACTCAACATATATGTTTTGTCATTCCGCTGAGTATTTTGCAAACACAGGCATAGCACTTGGCCAAGGCAAGTGCAGAGAACATCCAGTAAGGCCTTCATGTAAGTTACAAGATTTCACAGAATGAAAATATTCATCCAATATATATTTTAGCCGCAAAACCACAGACAAGAATGGCTAAAAACGTGAATAAGTAGTACTGCACATAGTGTAAAGCACATGTGTCAAACTCAAGGCCCGGGGGCCAGATCAGGCCCACCACATCATTTTATGTGGCCAGGGAAAGCAAATCATGTGCCAGTTTGCATGATCCTTGCTACATCTGTACCGAATTGTCAAATTGTCATGTGTATTAAATAGCATTGAGATTTTGCAATCATTTTGTTACCCTGCTTAGACTCACTTTAACGATAATTGAACAAACTACTGTAGTCGACTCGACTGTTTTCAAAATTAGTCATCCATTAATTTGTTGTGTACAAGTAATAATGTGATGAGACAAGTAAACATTTTTGTGGTTTCATTTTTAGAATGGCCCTCCGAGGGAAGACGTCACTCCAAAGTGGCACGTGACAAAAATGAGTTTGACACCCCCGGTGTAAAGTATTAGAACAGATTTTTGAAACAGTGCTTGGTGAGAGAGAAGCAACACTTACCTCCAGCCACAACTAAATAATCGTCTGCAAATACTACGACTGCACAGAACCGAATTCAAATTCGGCAGGAAAAAAAAAAGACCAATCACTGGCAAAAGAGCAGCCCACGCGCAGGTTTCAAAGAATCTTAACTCAGCTTTCCCTACCACTGCCTCCCCTGTCCAAACACACTAATGCTAAAAAGTAGCCAAGCATACAAAGGGTACGGCGCGCACAGGCTCACCGTAAGATGAATAACCGTAAAGGTAAGCGGGCACAAGGAACCCATTACATGCAAAGGAGGAAATGGCTTAAGGTGATTGATCAGAGTAAGTAGATAGCGTTGACCATGCCCAAGATCTTTGCTGAATAGAGGATTGTATGCTGCTTTACCGTAATTAACGGGCTTTAGAACCTGACGGTAGGAGCTGGGACTGATGGTCTGCTTCTGGTTGTCTGCAAAGGAGGCAGTTCACACACAATGCGGTTGCATATTGGAAGTGTCAGAAAGGTCTGAACATTCAGAAGAACACGTTGGAGTCAGAAATACAGTGCTCAAAAGTACCGCATGTGGATGAAGTCTAAAAAAAGAGTTGTGGCATTTTTGGAAATGCTAAAAGTTATTTTTAGCATTTGCCACGAGCTGGTGTGTGGGGAGGGAAAAAAAAAAACACAGGTGGCGGTCCGTCACTGGCCAGCGGGGTGGACTTTGGACAACCCTGTTCTATTCAATGTGGGTCCCTAAGCGTGTGTGTGTGTGTGTGTGTGTGTGTGGAAACGAAAGGGAGGAAGATTTACCTCTGGGTCTCGGAGCTCGCTTCCTGCGGTCTCTGAATGCAGCTCCCGATTGCAGGGCTTCCAGCAAGCTATCCATCACACCCGTCTCATCATTCTCTGAAAAGCAAAGAAGAATAAGGGGTGATTGAAGAAAATCAGATAAGCTAGACTTCCGTATCGTTGGGAGCCTTTACATAATGGTTGCAAACAATTTTGAGCTGACACAAAAGAGAAAAGGAAGAGCACAGCATATCAAACATACACACACGCCTCGCATATCGCAACTATTTGTCACAAAAACATAAGCTGGTGTTTGCTCATGAACAATATTTCTGGGCATCCAAGTCAGATGGTTCTGCTGTCAATTTGCTGACAGAATATCAGAAAAATGGTTGAAACGCTGACAAATTGTGATCAAAACTTAATTCAAAATCAAATGTGTGACAGTTTACAAGAAGAACAGCTTTGACAGAGTATTCTTTTCCTCAAACAAACAAAATGCTTCAAACATGTCAGCATTTTTTTTGTGATTTTTTTTTTTTTCCACTGAAGTTCAGCTTTAGCTCAATCTCGCGCCTTGTTCTTCATCATTACTCAGAACAGAGAAGCAGCATGGATTCGGAGCAGGCCCAACGCTCCTTGACGTCTAAAATTGTCTTGGTTGCCAAGACGATTCATCATGGGCAGCAAGTGTTGCACACAGTAACACACATCCCGCTACATGTTTTTTATCAAAACGAGAATGCAGAAAACAAACAAACAAACCGCAGCAGATAAATCAACTGAAACCTGTAGTGTGTGCCGTCATGTGTCGTGGCCCACTTGCCTCCAAAGGACGGATACATGAAATACTTCGGGAGCCTCTCGAGGGGAAGGAAAAGGGGAGGGGGAAAAAAACAAAAAAACCTCAGAACTTGAGCCTAAACATTATTGTGGAATAATAAAAAAATAGTGCAATTGCAGACATTTATCACAACCCGCAGACAAAAAAAGTGACTTTTAAAAATATAGACAGGCTGTCACAGAACATTTTAACCTCCCCCACATGCCTGCAAAGTTAGAACGGTATCAGCAGACATGTCACGTGGTTAGCACTTGCGGGGAGCTACATGCTCGTGGTTGGAAGATGGCTACAGCATGAAAGGTGGCACCGAAAGATCTGGCTGGAGAATCAAGACACGAGAGGACCGAGAGAGCGAGGAGTGCTTTCCCAGCTCTGGCAGCACAACAAACCGATTGGTCCTTTGATGCGCATAACTTGCCTGGCTCTCGTGCTTAAGCGTCATTTGGGATCAGAGCTCTTATAAACAGCTGTCCAACTGCAATAAAAAAAAAAAAAAAATAAAAAAAAGAAAAAAAAAAGATGCATTCACAGTGCAGGGCTCCTTTACAATGCCCTCCAAAAATATTGGAACAATGAGGTTCATCTTTTTTTTTTTTTTAACAGTAGACTGGAAATATTTGTGGTTGACATCAAAAGGTAACCTTCCATTTGCAGGTAAGTACAATCTCTAACAAATTTACAATTGAGAATCTAATAGTCTTGTTTGTGGTTTATTTACAGTAAACATCCCTGTTACCAGATGTGGTTTTATCATTGCAAATTCTTGCTCACAGTGCAGGGCTCGTTTACAATGCCCTCCAAAAATATTGGAACAGTGAGGTTCATCTTTTTTTTTTTTTTAACAGTAGACTGGAAATATTTGTGGTTGACATCAAAAGGTAACCTTCCATTTGCAGGTAAGTACAATCTCTAACAAATTTACAATTGAGAATCTAATAGTCTTGTTTGTGGTTTATTTACAGTAAACATCCCTGTTACCAGATGTGGTTTTATCATTGCAAATTCTTGCTTCTGTTGCGTTTTCATTTTTTAATCAACTCAGCGTTTGTAGCAGAACATTTTACGTGAGCAGAAGTGGTGTGAAGGATTAAATGGATCGAAATTAGCGAATATTCTGGTATTTGAATATCTGGGAGGCTATTTACTCAGAATTGAAAGCACTAAAATCAGATATGATCATTTTCTGTATTATTTTAGTCTTTCAGTGCAGAGGTGTTCACTCCTTGTGCTTCTTTTTCTATTTGATGTCTGAATAGTTTGTAGCTTGGAGCCATACAACGAGTGTTAAATAGTGCGCCATTGTGTACCATGTCTGAGCACAAACATCCCAGCTCCTGGCCTACCCTGGGAGTTAATACTACAGATTTGTCATACACAGGAATAGTTACCAAGGGTGTGTGTGTGTGTGGGGGGGGGGGGGTGAGAAACACAATCCAATCTGAATTTCAATCTCCGTCAGGCTCCACACAAATGGATTTACGATGACGCTCTCACTCAGACTGCAGATGGCGAGAACATTCTGAATATCAGGGTGTCAATATCCTATGTCAGTGTGCGCATTATAATGTTATGATTATGCAATATACGTTTTTAACAACTCGGTTAAAAAAACAAAAAACAAAAACAAGCCAGGTCCATTGAAAAACGTGGTGAAGAAAACCTCCCCCTTTTTCATGATCTCATGTTATTCAGTGCAGTGTCCTTCAGCATAATGTGGATAACAGACTTTCTGGGGCATTTAGGGAATTGGTGGATGATGAAATGATTACATATAAAATCCCCATTGAGGGCAATCCTCCCGAACAAACAAAGTGTAAGCTCTTTAGTTAATAAATATGGTCTGAGACAGACGGAAAGAGCAAGAGAGTTTGTGATAGAGCCCACTCGCGTTCCAGGTTGGTGGCAAAATGCCAAATCACTGCGAAATATTAATTTCATCCCAACAATCTGTGCACGCATGTGCGGGGGTTCGACTGCATGTCTGCTAGCGTCGCGATGCACTGCCAAAAAAAAACGATGTACTACTGTATATGCTGCCAAGTTTGCTTCCCCCCCGTCCACTTTATTTGAACATCATCAACAGTAAACACTGAATACACACTACAGAATCATCCCAAGGCGTGCGCTGATGCATTAAGCTCGGAAATACATGAAGATGAACGTTTCAAGTTTTACTTCAGCTAATGGGGTCAGGCTGGATGGGGATCTACATGGTTGACGGATGGCCACCATTGTCCCAAACGCGGATGCGAAGTCCGCAAGGAGTTACTGGACTGATGTTTTGGCCTGATCGCAGGTGTTTTTAGGGTGGCTAAAGTTGTCAAAATAACCTCTGGAAAAAAGGATTTACAGCAGTGGTGTCCAAAATATGGCACGGGGTCCATTTGTGGCCCGCCATCCATTTTTAAGTGGCCCTTGACCTTGCGACAAATAAATTAATTTTATGGACTGTTAGTGCTTTTCTTCATCTACAGAGATGCAAATGAACTCCCCACAACCAAACTAGTGATGTTTCTCTTCATAAAACTGGTGAATAAAGAAAAATAATTTTTCCAAGCCAAAATGGTTTCCTCCATTTTTGTGCCGTGTCAAGGTCCAAATTGTGAACATATCACATGAATGATTCACAACAAACTTCTTGAAAAATGGTCACCTTACGACAAATTATTCTGTTTTTTGATAAGATAACCTTTATTTGTCCCACACTGGGGAAATCTGCAGTTGCAATTTTACTCAGAGTATAAAGATGGGAAACACAATTTGCTTTGTAGAAAGCTGTTCAAGTAGCAGTTTTAATACTAATATATAAAAAATATGGTATTTATTTTGGTGCGCTAGATATATTGAAGTTAAAAAAAAAATCCAAGTGGCCCTTGCATCCTTCAATTTTTCTCTCTGTGGCCCTCGGAGGAAAAGGTTTGGACACCCCTGATTGAAAGAGATAAGCTTTCTGCAGTCAAACAAATCTCATGCAAGACCATGCAGCATCCCAAGCTGCATACAATACTGATAAAGCTTTCGCTACAGACAAACGTGAAAAAACAAGAAAAACTCATCACGTGGCCACCATTACGCACCGACTTTAACCCAACTGAGAACCTGTGGAGGACCATGATTAGGAAGATCTACAAGGCTGGCCAGCATTATACCTTTCGAATAGCGGGATTTTACTTTCACCCCTCTTCTTTTTTCAGGTGACAAACAGACGGAAGGCAGAAGGTTTTCTATACACAACTGGAAAGAGTGACACGTGACATATCACATCCACCAGAATGTGATTTAACTGATTACCTTGTGCTCTATTAATAAAGCCTGTCAAAATGTCTGTGGATTTGTGTTCAAGTTTGCCACCCTACAGTGAGGGAAAGGGAAGCTTTGATATTATATTTAGCCAAACATGTGACAGCACGTTGGCACAAACCACCGCGTTGGTTTTATATGTGCACTCTGTCTGCAGGCAAGCTACAATAGTTGGCAAATGTTAGCTATAGATGCTAGTATGGGGCTGAGAGTGATGGGCCGTTTGCTGCCAGTCTTGGTTTTGGCATTGAAAATAGGTCTGCAGGCTGTGTTGTTGAACAAGTTCTTGGCATCAGCAATACTCCAAAGGGGGGAGGGAAAAAAAACAAACCAAAAACAACAACTGGAAGTTTGAAGCACATTCTTAATTTCTAGTTTAATTATCACTGAAGGGCACAGTCATGGACATTTTTTAAAGTAGTAAGTGCACATAAATAGGTGACGTCAATTAAATATGCAAATGTGATAATACACACTACACTAAACTGTAATGATCGTCGATGTTTCTGACATAGCAGTTCAAAGATAATCTTGTCATTGTTATGATAGTTTCTTAACTGGTGAAAGTAAAGGTCTACGAATAAACGGAAAATAGGCGCTGATTGAAAACCTCTGTCTGCGGATTACCCATGTCGCATACACGATCAACGACATCATCCACAAGGGGAGATCTTGCAGTTTACGTGCCGAAGGAATACTTATTTATCTCGATGGATCACCCGTGACCCCGAATAAAGCAAGCCATACAAAATGGACAGATGGATGTCATGACATCAACATAAATATTTTTGAGCATGGTGGGAGTCACCTCGCTTCAGCCGTCACTTCTACTAATCACAGAACGCCAAGAGAAGCTGTCTAGGGTCAAAATCAAGGCGCTCATACAGGCCGCAGCAGGCTAAAGTCACATGTTTTTGACATCACACGCGAACTTACACGAATGTTTTTCGATTTGAGTTGGCCCGCATCACACGCGTTTGTTGACAGTGTTCACACCTTATCCAACTGAACTGAAACCACAAAGGAGGAGTTTTTAATGAAACTCACTGAAGGGTGCTTGTGTCAAACTAGCCCGGGTGACAAAAATTAGACCTCGATCCTTGATTGAAGGAGCATACAGGCATGTAATGGGGAACAGCAACCGCATGCAAAAGTTGTTCGGCAAATGTGAAATGGTTTTTACCTGCGTTGAGTTCAAGCAAGGCGCTCTTCTTCTGCTGTCTCTCTTGCTTTTCACGCTCAGCCTTTTCCTTTGCTGCCTGTGCTCTCCTCTGTTTCTCCTCAGACTCTTTACGCTTCATGTTGTCTTTGAGTGCTTGCTGTAAGAAGAAAAAAAAAACATTTAAAAACAGTGGGATTTAAAAAAAAATAAAGTTTTTGCTGTATTCAGATGACGTCGGACGGTTTACAGTGGTGGATGAGAGTTTGATACAGGTCAAGTCATACAAATTATTTTTATTTACTCTCCAAATAAAAAACATTTCACTCGTCGTGATGTCCGGCATCAGACATTATTAATGAAAAAGGCACTATTTTGCTTGAAGAACACCTGCTGATGTTCAAATACTTTGGACGGGACTGTATTCACTAGAACCATATTCTCATATGTGTACAAGGAGTTAAGGAGTAAGAAGTCTACCATCTGAAAGAGCGGTGCTTAAATGATGGTTAATTTGAATACGTTATATTACTCATGGGCGGCCCGGTGGTCCAGTGGTTAGCGCGCCAACCTCACAGTGCAAAGGTCATGGGTTCGATCCGGCTCCGACCTTCCACTGTGGAGTTTGCATGTTCTTCCCGGGCCTGCGTGGACTTTCTCCGGGTGTTCTCCCGCATTCCAAAAACGTGCATAGCAGGCTGATTGAACACTCTAAATTGTCCCTAGGTGTGAGTGTGAGCACGGATGGTTGTTTGTCTGTGTGCCCTGCGATTGGCTGTCAACCGGTTCAGGGTGTCCCCCGCCTACTGCCTGGAAAAAGCTGGGATAGGCTCCAGCACCCCCCGCGCCCCTTGTGAGGATAAAGCGGTTCAGAAAATGGATGGATGGATATTATTACTCATTACAGCACAAACAGTTTTTGCTGACAAGTAAAAAAGGAGATCATTGAGACAGAAGAAAAGTTAAGCACTGGAAATAGAACAAACTGTGGCCCACAAACCAATGGAGGGACGGTAACGTGGGTTACCTGGACAATCCCGCCCTAAGTACCTCACAGCTAAGGCTTGGCAAACAATTTGCCATCTTGAATTGAGGATAAAAAGGGCAAAGACAAGAATTTGAGGGACATGGCTTTCAATTCTCATCAGTACTCACTTCATAACATGGTTCTCCGAAGAAATCATGACGCTCTTTTAAAATGCAAAATAGAGCCCTCAGCGTGAAGGGAACAAATAAGGTACAATGTGACGTGAATTTGAATTCATTTTTGAACAATATCACCTTTGTATATAAATGCGTAAAGTGCTCATGTTGAGTGCTTGGTTGATGTTAAAAATCCAAATCAGGCAACCAGATGGGTATTTACAGGAATAATACAACTGCGTCCTCTCTCGCAGCCTTTGTTCATTTGCAGGTCCAAACATTCCATTATTTTTTACTCACCATAGTGTCTCTCTGGCAACATGATTTTTTTCCCCCCTACAGCATCCATTAGAACAACATGCAAATGAGGTTCTTATGCAAATTGGTGGATGGCATCAGCTCGCAAATTCTAGGGACCTCAAAAGCCTACTTTCCTTACTTGTAAGCAGACGGAAACACTGATCCTAATACCCTCGCAGAGAAAATAATAAACACATGATTGGGATTATCAAAAACAATTCATGGCAAATAAAACTTAAATTCAAAAAGGAAAGGTAAATAGAGTTAAAAATAATAATAATAATAATAAAAGATTGTAACACAAATACTGTGGCATGAAATTGACCAAGTTATGACGTGCTCACTTGCGCAACAACCTATTAATGGTTAAGTCACAGATTTGAATGGATTTATGCTAACCTTATATCTTAGGTTCAACCAAATTCCCTGCTGTCCTGCAAAGCAATGACAGATGTAATCAGACATAACTCGATGAAAGGTCATCGTAATAGGACATGGATCTATATTGCGATGCAGATTCTCGAGGGGTGTTGGGGGGGGTGTCATTGATGCCAATAGAAAAGAGAAAGCAAGGTTTTAGGAGAGTAAATTAAATGAATAATCACAGAGGGAAAAGAAGGGAATGTGTGGAACAAAAGGCCAAAATAAAGTTGTATTTTAGATTTGAAGGTCCACAAAGTCAAACAAAGTAATCAAAGTTAAGATCACGACAGTATTCTGTCATTCCAAAAATGTCAGGAGTCATGCCATATTGTGCGTACAAAACTCTTAATAGAGTGATGATGCAGAGTGAGAGGGAGGGAGAGAGAGACACTGCCCTCAGCTCTCCTCATCACTCCAGGTCTGTCCCCCCCCCTCCCACTCCCCCTGCCTCTTCTCCTGGATGTCTACCATTAGCCACGCTCAATTGGATTCCTGTCAGATGTGCGGCCTCGCCCTGGGTCTCCTTCCTATGGGTGACTGAGCATGCGGCATGTGTGTGCGCTTGTTTGGGTAGGCCTTTGTATGCACTTGTCATTTCGCTGCTTTTTTTTTTTTTTTGTCGAGGAAAAGCCGCACAGCTTCCCCCTTCCCCCACGCACACACAAACAAGTGCACATTTTTTCAGAGCACAGCACACATACTTGCGGTTTAAGGCTCAGTTCATTACACGCAGTGGTCTCCAAACATGTACCTATTAGCATGGACATTGGCACAGCAGTGTATATGCTGACACAGATGTGACCAAGAGGTGACTGTGCTGAGATTTAGTGCGTGAACGCGCTCTTTGACCTCACTTTGGCTTCCAGCAGGATGATGGCGGAAAGGCACCTTTTGAACAAATGACTCAGGGTGTTAGCTGCTTGCACCTTGGCCTATTAAAGTGGAATAAATGACAGCACGGGGAGTTCTGGCCATATATTCAAAGTCCTTACAATGCTTTGCTTCTTCAATTATCATTGACGGAAATGTTCAGTGGGACCCAACGGTAACGTCAATGAGATGATGATGATGATGAAATGTAACGCTTTAGAAATTGGCCCAAGGATAATATCGTAAACATAAACGGAAAATATGTATTGACACAATCAATGGGATATGCAAATTTAACATTCAGTCACATTTACTCCCATTTGACTTTGTCGACACCAGCACGCACGCACGCACGCCACGATGACGAACAGCCATAACGGCCCTCAACATGAATGAAACAGAAAAAAAATTGCAACAGGTAAAAGTGCACGTAACGCATCCCAGTGTACTCACTGTGAACATGGTCCGGAAGTTGCTGAGGTCAGTGAAGAGCTCCTCCACCGATGTTTTCTTTGGATCGACAGCAAAATACTCCAAAAGATTCAGGTAAAGCGTTTCCATGCTGCTGTGCATGGTCACAAGCTTGCCATACTGCTCACGTGCCACCTTGCTGAAGCTGTGAGGGTGTTGGTCAAGGTCCAGCACAAATTCATTATGCATGCAGCATATTAGCAGCGCAAGTACATGAAGTCGCCTGAAAGGCTCAAAAGGAAAGGTCAGGATTAACCTGATGTTATTTATATTGCGGCTACCCAGGGGTGGCGCAAAGGGCGGGGGCGCGAGGTTGTCGGCGACTTCCGGGAACATATTTAAAATTTAAAACTAGAAGATCAAATTTGTAGTTACCAGGAAGAAAAATGCACCTTTTACCAGAGTTAAATGATATGGTCACGGCAAATTCTGGCTAGGGATGGAACTATTTACAGACGCAGAAAAAAATGTTGCTACATTTTCAGAGCCCAGAAGATAAGACCGGAGATTGGCTGGGAACAAAAGTTTGGACAAGTGCCCTGTTTCTAAATCCCATTGAATATCTGATGGAGTTGACACAGTTAGTCTGCAGACGGCAAACATCAAACCCAAGGTAACTGGAGCAGTTTACTTACGAGTGAGCCAAAACAGCAATTGACATGTCAAACTGAGGGGTCCAGAAAATACTCTGTTGCCTACCAAATTTAGGAGGAAATGTGGACAATGACATTTGCAAAAAGGCCTTGTAAGGAACTGGAGCGGTTGTCAAAGGCTTCACGAATGTGCCGGCCTGTCTTTTTTACCAAGCAGTAAATTGTATTGCTTTGATGAGCTGCTACTTCTGTAGCCATACAACATGTTGTTACGATTAGGAAATAAGGTATGTGTGCAAGCAGTCATATCGACAAAATGTATAAAAACATGCCCACGGTGCACTGACAGTTTGAATATCGATCATAAACTCAAAGTAGCCGTTCCAAGTTGAGACTCCATCATTATCAGGAGAAATTGCCCACGCAATGAGTGATGACAAATGCTGACAGTTCTGCTCACCCCTGCTCAACATTGCACCAAAACACAAATTTTGAAATCTGTCAGTTTGGCATTTGCAAGACCTTTGAAAGGCAGATGCAGTAAAGCAAGAAGCTAATTAAGGCCTTCATTTTTAAAACAAGATTTTTTTTCGGGATCCATAGACACTATTCATATATCCACGGCTGCAAAGGGCACAACGGCATATCACATAGCCGCATAAGATGTCTGACATCACAGCCTTAGGCCAGTGTGCAACTCGCCAATGAAAAACAAAAATAAAAATATGAACTAATACGAATCACAAACATTCCCTATATTGGCCAAACATGGCGCGTGGGCCTGACTTTGCCCAGGTTTTCAGTTAAATTAAACCATGAGGTTGGCGGATTTGGGTGGGCAGGTGGGGTGGGGGGGGGGAGTGGTACAAAACAGTAACCTCTGCTGCCCCTTTGAGAAGCAGACCAACATTTTCATGCACACTCTGGTTTATATTATCTGTCTACATGTGTTGCTGTTTGTTTTCCTTCGGTCACACCAACTACATGCAAATTGTTAAACTGTGTGCCTGCAGTTTCCCATTGTATATTAGCATTAAGCTAGCAGAAACTCAGTGGTTGTTTGACAGTGTCCTTCAGCTGGTAATTGGGGGGGGTAGCTTGAAGCCTCTTTTTGACGGAACATTTACTGATTACAGCCAACGAATTGCCATTTGTTGTCAAGTGAGTTAAGACACCTGCCACTGCACGAAAAAAAAGAAAAAAAAATTCAAGCAACGTCTCAAATTGGTCCACTCGTATGCTAAAGGCACCACTGTATATCTAAAAAAAAATCTACTGAGTATGCCATGTAGTATTTCATGTGTTTAAAGGATATTGCCATTTTATTGACAAACATGTCACTGGGGTCATCAGGGGACGAGAAAGTCTCAAGGTCTCTCTCCAGCTGCAACAGCTGCCTCTCCATCTGCCTGAGGCTCTTTTCCAAATTCTCTGCAGACACTAACACACACCCGCATGCATTCAGGCGCACGCAGAGTCATAATAGTGCAAAGAACACACAATGCCATGCCAACAAAATTGGAGGAAAAAGAAGCAGAAAGGACAACAGAGTTATTTCAGACATCAAATGCATTACTATATTGAGGGTCTAAATGGATCAAAGTGGCCAAAATACATCCACACTGTACTGTACTGTGGAAACGACAGAGAAAAATAGACAAAAGACATATGTGTTGTTCATATGAATCAATTGCACGAGGTGGAGAAACACAAAACACTGAGTCAAAGTTCATGGACAACATTTGACTAACTGTTTTTGCAGATGTGTGATTAAACACGTGATGCTACTAAGGGGATATGATTAAAACGTTGACAGTCTAAGTGTCATATGTTACCCCAGATAATGTTTTACATGAAGTAAAAAAACATCAAGTGAAAGTGGAGACACAGAGATGCTCACATATCAGTCTCAACAGATTTACACTTCATGTACAGATGCAATTCTCAATTCTCAACTCAACTGTATTTATAGAGCACTTTAAAACAACCACCAATTGTCAAATCCAGATCATCTGTATCCTTACTAATCTGCAAAAAAACATGAGTTAGGGTGAGAGAATCTGCATCGTCAAGCAAAGGAAGCAATGAGCCACACTTTCTGTTACGATGGCCATGCCTGCCAATTCCGGAAAGTCCGTGATTAGTACCGTGATTAGACTGTACTTGTCCCCCCAAAAATATCAAAAATAATTTATGACTTAAATTACCGTGATTAGACTGTACTTGTCCCCCCAAAAATATAGGCTCCTTATTTTGAAGTAGCAGCAAATGTACATTGATACAAATACTTAGTGAGAAGGGAATACGGGTATAAGGAATACAGTGCGATAGCTGGCAAGCTAGCTAGCTAGATCTACAAAATATATAAAACAATTTAGTCAATATTAACCAATCTGGTGGCATGGACCTATGAGGCATATTAAGTCAGTGCCAGCAAATGTTTGTGTCTCCCTTCATTTTACTTCTGTGTGTACAAGCCAGAGTGATTTTATGGGCGCTGGAGTCTGAACGGCTATGTGGCAGAGAGATTGCTGCCAGATGTAGAACGATTTAAAGGAATAAAAATTGTTACATTTGCGGGGGTCAAATCCCCCATTGACACCGGTTTTACTACTTTGCCAACCCGCTGTGTGATAAATAAGAATGAGTAGCACACATCTCTGCGCACACTTTCACAGGGCACAGGACACAGAGCTCCACTATACAGTTGATCATTTTGTGTTTGGGAATTAAGGGACTGAAAATGCAATTACGCTTTCAGACGGAAAACACTGAGACAGCAAACACACTCAAGCATACTTAAGAACGTGAGCCAGATTTCAAACACATAGAATGCAACTAACCTAACACATGCTATTTGGATATTCACAAAGACCATGAATAAATATACACACACACACACACACACACACACACACACACACACACACACACACACACACATTATGTATACTTTGTGTTTGAGGTTTTTACATTTATTATTTTAATTAAGTACATATCTGTCACAGGTTTCGTTGAAAAATCGCAATTTGCGATTATTATGGAAAATTGTAGGATGAACTAGTTAAAAAATGTTAATCGCTTGACAACACGGGGGGTTCCAGCCATCCATTTTTGAATTAGTAAAACATCTTCAGAAAGAGTCCACTTCCCTTGAATTCAATAAGAAAACACTCTCATTCCCCTTTTATCACCTCACCAGTTATACAGGTAGGCACTTTGTCAGGTCATTTGGAGGGAACACTATTTACTGCTTATCTTCTTCACAAAAATTAATTTTGAGGTTAAAAGTTTAATGCCACTTTCCCAGTCGAGTGTTTTCTCTGTCCTGTCGAGATCATAATGAGTTTTTGCTGATAGAATATCCCGCGAAAGTTACTTTGAACAAATAATTAAAATCAACCTTTCAGACTTTTTGGAGTCAGTCCAAAAATACCAGGCACTGGTTCCCAATAAAACCAAAAGAGATTCCAATGCTTGTGGTTATGCAATTTAACTAATTAAATTCTACTTTTGCACAACTCTCTCAGTCAATAAAATAAAACAAATGTATTGTTGCTGTCAGGTAAAAATCTCAAATAATATTTTTTTTTTAGCATCCATCCATTCAAACATTTTTGTCCTTTTTCAGGTTGGCGGGGAGCATAAAAAGCCAATCTAAACTGACAGACTAAATGTAGAGTACCATTTCGTTGTTAATCAGTCAGTGGCATCAGAGTTCAGTTTAGTGTGTGGGTGTGTTGATATCACAATCTCGACTAAGACAAGTTTGTCTTTATTTATTTGGCCAAATGGCAAACTGTAGCACAGGGGTCTCCAACGTGGTGCCCATGGGCACCAGGAAGGCCCCCAAGGACCCCCCGATGAGTAGCCCGAAGGCCAGTTCTAAAAATAGCTCAACGATGTTGGGACATCGTGAGTGCCTTGGAATGTTGTAGAAGTGAAGATTTGAAAATTTAAACACTCACAGAGATACACAGAAATAAGATGAGATTCAAAGGAATAAAGTGTTGCATATTACTACTTATCTGTGTATGTCATTAATTATTGAAAAAAATAACGAGAAGAAAATTATGAAAGGTTACTTGCGCAAATGTGTTATTTCAGACGGACGGATTTGCTCACGAGGATTATTCGAACCACGCTCAAGGACAGTCATGAATTGCAAGCAGGTAGTTAGTTGACTCTATGTAAAGTGCAGTGTACTTTGATTTCTCAAATGGTTGTAGAAATTGTAAAATGGAAAAATTTAGGTGTGTCAAGTGTGAATTTGCATGACGCTTACCCCTGCTTGCTCGGTCCACATGTTGAAGGTCCTCAACAAATTTGATCACATCTGGAAATTCCTCTTCACATATTTGGGCCAGGAAATGGAGCAACGTGGTCGTCTGGTCATTTGACTTAGTATCCTTCAGCTGGTTAAATCAGAGAGCCACCCAAAAAAAAAAAAAAAAAAAAAGTAAAAATACATTCACAGGGTGGCAATAACCAATTCAAGTAGCACTAAAATATGGACCAATGTGTAAGGAACCATGGTGTTCACTGCAAGACGCAAAGGCAATCAGATAAGCAACTAAATACTACTTCTTGTGATCATTTTAACCATGAATGTTCATATTACACTGTATTATTTTTCAAAATACCAGAAGCCATGTTTCTAAACTGCAGTTTTTTTTTAATTTGTTATTTCATTATCATGAGCGTCACACCTGTCAGCATTAATAACAATATCCACGTTAGTATTGTCAAGCTGCACAGAGGGAGTTCAGATTCCAACCGAAACCCATCCATACAGAAATAGTCTTTTGTTTAACCCCAAATAGCAAGTTGAATGATTACACAGTACATCAATGTGACTTGTGGTACAAAGCTACTTTTTTAATGGGGAAGTATGAAATAAACAATATCTCCTATGCGTCCCCCACTAGTCTTAACACAGCATGAGACGAGAACCACAGTCGCAATTTTGCCAGCTACAACACACTTGAGTAAACCAGGTTTGTTCAAAAGTGATCAGTAGGAACAACAACTGTGTCAGGCTAGCACATCAAACTGTTCATAGTCATTCACGTTTGTTGAACTACCCTTGGAAAAAAAGACAAAAAAACAATCAGACGCCGACAGCTCTCGCCAGCCAATTTGAAGCACTGAAGCGTAGCTTCACGCCAGGCAACAGGCGTAATTCAGTGTCAGTGTATCCATCCATTATCTGATCTGTTTATCAATTCAGTCTTTATTTGATTTTTTTTCTTTTTTTTTTTTTTACGCGCCCTTGAACGTTTTAGGACAGCTATGTGTTTTTGATGTCGGTAACAAGAGTTTGTGACGGCAAAACAAACACCCTAAACACAGTCTGGAAGATGACTCATGTCAGCTGTCATGCCGTGACACGCTGCCGGAAAAAAAACTTCACAACAAAAGCATTGCAGGGCATTAATGTCCAAATATTATTTGGTAAGGTCAGATTTATTTTGAAGTCGGCGGCATGTTCCAGTCATGCAAAGCAGGAACAATAGTTACTGCGGCTGGTGTAACTTCTTCCTGAAAGTGTGCACGTCAATAAGTGGGTCCTCCAGGTGCTAATTTCTTCTGCATTTGGCATGTCGTCAAACACATGACTCATTTTTACTCCTTTTCAACCTGTTTCAGCAATGTGACCCGTGATTTGTTTTTTAAATATCCGGAACAATCAGTGTTATGGGCGTAACGAGTTAACGTGCAATGATTTCTGTCACAAAATAAGGACAATCGGTAACAGTTGGCAGCTTTGGATAATGAAGATACCCTCCACCAAATTATCCATTGAATTAATCGTTTGCTTGTTTCCTTCTTAAATTCTCACAGGAGCTTCTTAATTCATCCACATATTTTTCACAGTTGACAATCTCAACATTCTATTTGCTGCACAGTGCTTAAAAGTCAAATGTAAACAGAAGGGTAATGTTTGCAGTAATCAGCCTTTCATATCAGCATCTACCTCGTACCCACCACAAAGGTGATACAATCATCCAAAATGTGCACTGAATCATCAGCATATTTCAAAAAGAAGAACCCCCCACCGCCCCGCCAAAAAAACAACAACACTTTCTCATGTTGATTGTACCACTGTTCACCCAATTCATCAAGTAGACACATACCATAAATGTTATTTATCGGAACGTAATATTGAAAGCCCAAGTTTAACAGGGCAGAATGTTGTCAGTGATGAATGGCTGCTTTGGTAGTTATGCAGCTCAAGATGGATGAGTCTCCTACCCAAGGATTACACTCTACTCTCTGTCATCATCACTATCGTGCAGAAAAAGTGACTGTTCCGTCTTCATGCTATAGAAAATGCACAGGCATTAGCCAAGTCCTTGCCACCTGAAGCAAGGATAGTCCAACGAGGTCCGCATACGTGATTAAGGTTAGATTGGATTGATTAATTTTGTACTAGCCAGGGTTAGTTTTCTGTTTGCATTTTTTTCAGCGCTTTGAAAGGATTTCAACCGTTGTGGAAATGAGACCTGATATAGTTTAACCTCTACAAAATTCTAAATTGCCTATTTTTTGCAAACAAATGACTGATTTGGATGAGACTGTTATTGCGCACGTGTGTGTGTGTGTGTGTGTGTGGGGGTGTGGGGGGGGGGGGTCTCCTTATTTGTTTGTGGCTGGAATTAAATGTTCAGACCAAGTCGCCCCAAAACCAATCCTGATAAAAGTAGCTGCTGCCGAACCAACCATTAAGAAATCCAGTTTGGATCTACACTGCACAGTTGAAGGGACAGATTTTATTGTTTGCTCTCAGCAGATATGCATCATGTCAGCATAGACAGAGGGAAAAAAAAAACGCGCATGAAATTGCATATTTTGAGACCACCTGATTGTAGATGCGGATAAAAATCAGTGCTATATCAGGTATCTGCTAATGTGAGCGCAGTGAAGGTGAACCCCCGTAACTGATCTAGACAAAGGCCAAAAATACACGCGCTGGCTACACAAGTAATACCCACGATTAACGCCGACCCTGCGTTTGACCTTGCCGGATGATTGTGATTTGTTTAATTACTATGAATGAAAATGATAGCGCACCCTAAATGATGGGCCTAAAACTCAATTTGGCCATTTTGCTTGATCACATTTGAAATTCTCAAAAAAATCGGTCAAGGCTCACCTTGCACAGGGAACTGAGGTCAAAGCCGAACGATTGGGCATTACGGGAACCCGCGTTCAGGTAGTTGCCCAGCAGCAGCACAAGTTCCAGCAAGCGGCCAAAGGAGCGGCTCGTCTTGACTTCATCGCAGGCGGCGTTTACAGCCAGAATATCTGGACGCAGGTTGTTGACCTGCTCGTCAAACTGCAGTCGGAAGAGGATATGGTTGAGTCGTGGGCGCAGTCGCTTCACGCCGCTCATCTAGGACACGACACACAGACGGAAGATCAAGAAAAGGGAGGTGAGGTGAAATAAATAAAGATGAATCTCCCGAAAATGACCAACTCCAGATGCCTTCTCGCCAAGCAAGTTTAATGTCAGAAACATACCGGCGACCATCATGCTCAAGAGTGTTGCTAGGCAGGTGTAATAGATGCTGGCATTGATTCGATTTGGGACCCAGGACTGTTAAGTTAATTATAGAGTTAGTGTCCATACAGGGAAGGTGAAGGGAATACACACAACAGGCTGCCTTGGATTACGACTCTCACACAATTAGAGCAAATTGGAAAATATTGCGTTGGGCCCCAAGACCTGGACACAACGGTGATTGTGGATGCGTGGTGGGTTAAAAAGACAGCTGGCTGTGCAATTTGATTTTCCATTTCGTGTAATTACAGCGAGGGCAAAGATATCAAATGACTATCCCAGTACGTACGTACGTATGTGTGTGTTCTTTCAAAAGTGAAAGGATTTAAAAAAAAATAAAATAAAAAAACGAATAATGTAAAGAACTACATTTTAATACTTTGGACCGTAAAGCGCTGTACAAGAACATATTTGGGAGTAAATGTTTTGGCAACTTGTAAAATGCGTCCGTGTGAAGTGTCAACAACAATCTAAATCCCAGATGAAAGACTAATCCAAAACGCTGCCAGTCATGAGCTGACTACACACGAGTGGGGGTTATTCGTATAATAAATATGGATATTAACCAAGCTGAAGCCAAGTCCAATTATCAAGTCCAGCAAGAATTATAATATACAGTTGGATCGACATTTTTTTGTTAAAGTTATTCAATTGTTCCTGTTGGGTAGTAAAAACATGGTAAGATATATATCAATATATTTTTTCTCCTTACGGTAAACATGCTGCTTGAAGGAGACATGGCACGTTCAAAAAGTGACACGCTCCTCATGCAAATTTCTCCGCAAGCCTCGTTTGAAAAGAAATCGACAGCAGTGTTTCTTTTTAAAAGTGCATAAATTAAGGAGGTAGTCCAGGTGTCATTTAAGGCTCAAAAAGACTGACTGTTAAAAAGCTGTGACTGAGAATATTCATTTGAAAGTGCCGCTGTGTATGACCGCTACGTGAGGAAACGTACATTTCAGGTAAGTCTTCGCATTATGAACATTAACGTTCTGTGAAACAATTTAGATTTTTTTTCACAGAAAAAAAAGGCCATTCAATTCATTCTTGTTACAGTCAGAGGCTGTTGACAAATGGCTTGTCAAGTATCCATCCATCCATTTTCTGAACCGCTTTATCCTCACATTATGAATGTTCACGTTCTGTGAAACAATTTTGATTTTTTTTCACAGAAAAAAAGGGCAATCAATTCATTCTTGTAACAGTCAGTGGCTGTTGACAAATGGCTTATCAAGTATCCATACATCCATTTTCTGAACCAGTTGACAGCCAACCGAGGGACAATTTCGAGGGTTTCATGAGCCTGCCATGCATGTTTTTGGAATGTGGGAGGAAACCGGAGTACCCGGAGAAAACCCACGCAGGGATGAGGTGAACATTCAAACTGCATGGAGGAAGGCCGAAGCCGGAATTGAACACTGCACCTCTACACCATGAGACGGACGTGAAAACCAGTCGACCAGCACATCTCCGCTTGTCAATGGGGTCGCGAGGGGTGGATGAATAAAAATGATATGATACGATATGAAAAGTAAGATATGCACATTCACAAGTATGCATTCATGAATGGCGGAACACGGAGCCGCTGTTAAGTGTATGCTCTGCACGATAATGACACTGCTCAAACTTTGTTGCCATGGTTCCCATTTACTTCTGATTTTAAAGCATTTCTACGATCAATTTTTCCCAAATCATATTCTTTTAGCGGTTCCAGTGAATTATTTTTTATTTCTCTGCTTTCTTTTAAATGTCTTTAGTGCTTTTGTTTTTTTTTAATGTCTTCAATTCTTTGGCCTTTAAATGTTGTTTTTGTAACTGATGTGAAGCACATTGTGGATGAAATGCACAATATAAAGAAAGCTGCCTTTGATTGCTTCCTGCCATCGGGAGCACGCGACTCCCATACCTCAAAGTGTCAGCATTTTAAAAACGTCTATACGGACAGAGACCTTTGGATGAATGCAAAGAGAAGAAAAAAAATCCGGTTTCAGTAGTTTAATTCCTGTGCAAATGGACCCTTAGTCACTGCAGATGTGATGTAGAAATTGAATCGTTTTGGATTAAGTACAGAAAGAATATTACATTTGCGAGTTTGTTTGCATGTGTTTGTTTGCATGGACACTCACTACAACCCCGAACTGCTCCGGCTCTGACAAATTTGGATAATCATTCTTGTACTTGGCCAAAGCATTCAGCTGCTCCTGCTCAGGCAAGTGCTTCACAAGGTTCTGCAATGATAAGAGGGGAAAAAGGAATAAATGTAGCTGGCGGGTTGAGATGAGAAAGGGGGGGGGGGGGAAATAGAAAAGGAAAAAAAAAAAAGAGAAACACATACATTAAAAAAATAAAATAAAATAGATTTGTGTATGGTCAGGATGTTTGACGCTTTCAACACTGTATAGCGCCCAGCAAGGTGGTGATGTTAGATATTCACTTTTCCGAACATCTCCAAACTAAAGTAGTGCTGGGGCTTTCTGGAACACGATACTCACTCTCATGCTTTGTTCTTTTTCTGGCTTTCCATCTCAAAAATCTGATACGACAACATTTTTGGCAGAAAAACTACCCTTCTGCCTTGAAAAAATGTAAAAAAAAACACAAAAAAAAGCCTCATGCAATTTTATTGGGCGCTCAAAGCCAGATTAATCTGTTCCTTGGTCCACCGGGCTGGCTCAATATACAACCACCACTATGGGCCAGAACAAACAAAAATCTGCTCTTGTCAGAATATCGAATTTTCTGCACTATAAAGCGCTTCGGATTATAAGGTGAACCTTCAATGAATGGCCTATTTTAAAACGGTTTTCATATAGAGGGCACACTGCATTATAAGGCGCATACAATAGTGGCTGAGGTTGCATAACACATCCACTAGATGGTGGTGTGACGCTAAAGGAATACAATAGAATTCAGCTTTATTTATGTACAGTAGAGCCTTCACAACTGCTGCAGCTGTAACAATGAGAACTGATCACAAACACGGCACATTAAACATATAAATACAAATGGCGTTACAAAACTATAAATGAAAGACAAAAGTTATGAAGACAATTGAATCAACACAAACCCTTTTAGGTTACAATAGGTTCCTGCTAATAATCACTATTAGATGGCATAGAAAGACTAACAGGGAAACAACTCAATGGGGAATATAAAGAGAGTTACTGAATCTACATTAGGCGCACTAGACTATAAGGCACACTGTCGGCTTTTGAGAAAATCGAATGCTTTTAGGTGCGCCTTACACTGCGGGAAATACCATAGTCAAAAATGAAAGCCCCCGAAATTGATTAAGACGAATGAGGAGTCTCATTTTTCCCGAAGTGTAGATGCCATTGAGTTAAAAACACCAAGACAATTCGCTGTCAGACAAAACATGATCCAAAAATAACCCCACCTGAATCATTGGTTCACTGAGCTGTTCTTCGTCCACCTCCAATATCATCTGACGAATTTCGTTGTAAGGCATGCGGAAAGAACCCAGGAAAATGGCTGCAGAGAAACCAAGACATGGAAAGGAAATTGATAAATTGATAAATGTCACAGAGGGTATAAAGGTGCCTCATGAATGTACGGGTTTGGGGCTCCCCATCTCGGCTCAAGCCACCACTCAAAAAGATGCAGCGTCGGACTCCCAAGGCTCAAAATAAGCAGACTTTGCATTTTGCACCTCAATCAAACATTGAAAAGCCAAACTGCGAAAGGGCATCGACGTGGGAAGAAAGAGCTGCCAAACTCGTAATGCCCACGATTGCGCTGAATGTTTAAAAATATCACTGCCACAAAGTGCCTCGAGTTTTCGGATCTGCTCCATAAAATGCTTCCATTCAGCAGCAAATGGGGGACTCGGGAGGCGGGGAGCGCATCAAACCCGGTGGGTCCCTCCTAACCGATCGGGGAGGAGTCCTTGTGCCAAAATGAAGCATATTACCCGGCAGAAAATGTCGATGTTCAATGTGTCGTGCAACTGACATTAGTTCTCGCCGCTGCTAGCTGCGTTCTTCATCAATGCACGAGCCGCTAATGGCACTTTGGATATGTCAGCCAGCTTGCAATGTCACTGGCGCAGCACAGTGCCATAGCTAGTCATTGTCAATACACAATTACTCGAGAGGATTTTTAGTAGGACACTGCGATACTGAAATATTCAATTGCGATACCTCCTCTGTGATATTGCTATGTTATGTTGGTGACTAAAACCCTTGCGTCCGGTCACTGGGATGAACCTGGTCCTCAAAATTGGAAAGCTGCTCCTCAAATGAAGTCGTTGATCAGAAAAAGTGCTAAAAAAAGAAGAATTTAAAACAACACTGCAAATGTTGAAAACGTTCCTTCTTGGATGCAATGTTTTCATACAGTAGTTGTTTATTTACCGCATCCACTGCCATGTAACCGCCGGCTCCCAATTCCATAATTGCCGCAACGTGGTTTATCACAGTCTGTGGCCTGATTACGCTCATTTCTTTTTAAGACATCGCAACTCAACACAACGGTATTTTGAAAGCACTTTAAAACAACCACTGCTGTACATGGAGCTGCAGTGTTGTAGATGAAAAATAATTCATACAACAATAACACAATTAACTCATAACCAAGACAGGAGAAAGCACAAAAACAGTCACACTAAAAATCACGTCTCATGTTGAGTCACAAGCCAAAGAATAACAATGAGTTTTTGGACGAGTTTTAAAAATGGGCAGCGAAGGGGCTTGCCGAACGTTCAATCCAAAGAGAGGGACCGGCAACGTAAAAGGCTAATAGTGTCTGGTCCACAGACCTGAGGCAGGTACGTGGGGACGCAGTTGCTCAGAGAGGTAAGGTGACGGGAGGCCATTTCAAGATTTGAAAACAAATCATAGGATCTTAAAAATAATTCTAAAATGTTAAGGGAGCCAGTGAAGGGGAGCCAGTGAAGGGACGCCAAAGTAGAAGTTCTGTGCTCCCTCTTATGAGTACCAATCAAGAGGCGAGCAGCAGCATTCTGGACCAACTGGAGTCGCTTCATGGAGGATTGACTGACTCCAAAGTGAAGTGCATTCCGGAAATCCAGCCGGGATTTGACGAAGGCTTGAATTACTTTTTGAAAATGCTCTTGAGAAAGAAGAGGCTTTATACTTAAATGTAAACATATAATTCTTTGAAGAGAAGCTGTACGACTGAGAGCCTCCACAAGCATCTTTGAAGAGAAGAAGGTGAGGGGCGTGTAGAAGAAAACCAATACTTACACAGATTCTGCGCAATCTTGGGATCAAGCACCTTCAGCTCTTTAATTCGCTTCTTAATGGATTTTTTATCATCCAGATCCTCCTCCTCTCTTTTGGCTGATGAAAACATACAAACAGGAAATGGTGAGCTACCAATACGGTGAATAATTGCACACCTCAATGTTTATTTTGTCAAATGCAAATTGCTCACTAACTAAGGTTTACTGTATTATCTTTATTCCCAGTTCAGACACATGAGGTGTGCGTGATGTAGCGACTAGCCACGGGCATGCAATTTAAAAGGGGAAGCCAAATTATTTGTTCAAAACTTGAGACAAATGTAAAATGTTCCTCAGCATTTAGTAAACAGGAAATTGCTTATTCATTTTAAATGATTCCATACTTACCAAAGAAAAAAAAAGACATTTGTCATGAAAGGATGCTAAAAAAGTCAAGAAGATGGACTGGAAATGATTATCCCCCAAATTATTGCCATTTTTTAACAGTAACAGCGTGACTGCCAACAATCTTGTCAACAAGAAACTAGCGAGTTCAAGAATGAGCCGTCCTTTCCCATATAACTATTTTATGAAACAAACCATTTGTGTCTCATTTCTGTCAGGTCGTAGGAGAGATGAGCAGGTTGCAGCTCATAGACACGGCTTGCACACACAAAAAAAATCTAGTAAAAGCAAAGAGAGGGACGGGGAAGGGAGACTGTCCTACTGTTTAACCTGCCGTCCTTACAAGGGCTGCTACATTTTACGATGAAGTGAAGACGCGACTTGTGACATGAGCTCCTATTGAAAAGCGTGCCGGGATGTGTGCAAGCGTGCACTGCTACTTACGCACACCAAACGACAGAAACACACCGACAGTCACACAAGAGTGGACTTACGTGGCTCTTCAGTTGACGTACTCTCTTCACACTCTTTCAAAATTGTAAGGGCGGTAACGTACACAGAGGAGAGGACAGAAACAAACAAGGTTTGTTGGACTGCTCTATTTGATGCGGCGTGACAGATAAGGCAAGTTGAAAAGGACACACACAATTTTTGGAAATCAAAACGGTTGGCAGTCATTTCGAAGCGAACACTAAATAACAACATCGTTAAAGCCCAGAAAAAGCCAATGGCCAAAAAGCCAGAAGATTTACTGTCAAAACTCTTGAAACTACAATTTCACATGGGTGAATAAGATGGGCCTCAAATAAAAGTTTAAAATATTGTTCTTGTCACCAACTGACCCCAAACAACAACAGTTTGATTGTGCATTGTAATGACCAAGCCCTGCCACCAATAGTCGCAAACCCCAAAATAACTGACCGAAATGTTTCTCCCCATTTCTCCACATCCTCTGCATCTTCTGCTCGAACTGCAGCTATCCGCAAATCTTCCCTCTGCACATTTATCAATCTCCTCTTTGGTCTGTCTCTTTGCATTTCCAGCACCCTTCGACAGATATAGCGACCGTCCTTCCTCTGCGCCAAACCATCTCAATCTGGCCATCTGAGCTTTGTCTGCAAACTTTCCAGTCTGCGCTGGTCCTCTGGTGAGATCATTTAATTACCCCCCCCCCCCCACCCCTCAATTCCCCTACTGCATTCCCCGTGTATTAAATGTTTATCAGTGTTTTGGGGATAATTTATTTGTTTTCATTATTATTTGTTTTCCCAATGCATTTCACTGGGTGCCAATTATACATAAACTATTTGTGGGCTGGGCCAATTCAGTCCCAACCCCGCCCCGTGTACAGCTGGGGTCGACTGTACAGTAAATAAGCAAATTGTTTAAACTGATTGGATAGATTGGTCCAGTTTCTGATCAAATCAGTGATTGGTTATGTTTTTGTTTTGTTTTTTTTTAATCCATTGGTTTGGTGTCCAATAGTTTTGTGCCATGTTTGCATGTCATTTTTATGTAAGAGAGCCCTTTGTGCTGGGTGGGTGGGGTGAGTGTGGGTTTGTTTGTTTGTTTGTTTGTTTGTTTGTTTTGGAGGGGAGGGGGGTTGTTTGCTTCAAACCTTGTCATGTTGCAGAGTGGATGGAAATGCATTTGATCATGAAGTTTCTTGTGATGTACAAAAAAAAAAAAAAAAAACGTCGATTTTGTCCTGATTTGGAATGATATTTTGTCCTATCTGGTGAGGATGCGCGTGGTCCTATGCGGCCTCGAGGTAGTGCTAATGAAAAAGTGTGGCCCATCCCTCATCGATGGAATAAAGATGGATATGAAGCACAGTTGCATAATATCATTTTCAAGAATATTCAAGGATAAGATGACATTTTGTTGACAGGGCGAGACACTTGTTCATATGTCAAGTTATCCTTAAGATGTAAAACACAGACGTCTAGACTGTTTGTACTGTACTCTTCGAGGGAAACAGGACAATAACCTTTGCGTAGGAAACAATCCAATCCAATGAAAAGGTCGCAAAAAGGTTAAAGTCAGGCACTACTCTTACGAACTCAATGTCATCTTTTAAGTCAAGAGAAGCTGGTTACAAAAGGTCCATGACAAAGCTTTGGCAACAGGCAACCCCCACCACGAACTTCCCGCAAGGCTGGATCACTAAATTGCGCTGTGAAAACACGAAAGGGGGAACGGTGGCTGAAATAAAACTGCTGCAAAAGAGCATGACTGATGCTGTACATGACAGGCAGGCCTCAGAGACAGCAAAGTCACACCTCCAATTTCCCCACCACCCTTCACAAAACACACACAGACACACACGCACACACTGAACACACCAAATACTCCATCTGTCCAGTTTGCACACGACTCACACTAAATTTAAATTCAATCCATCGTATCTTTTCAGTGTTTTCTAATCAGGCAACAGTGTGAGACGTGTGTGCTGATTTGGCCAGATATTTTATCCAACATTTGTTCGGTGTTTCTAGCAAAGAACAGAGTATTCCATCTTCCAGATCAGTGGTCCCCAAACTTTTTTTTGTGTCACAGCTCAGTTGAAACAAGGACATGCTGTTCGCGGACCGGCAACCATTTTATGTTGCCAGTTTTAAAGCACTGGTATGGACAAGAAAGATAATTATAGAGTCTTTAAACATTTCACAAACACGGATTTTTTTCCCCCCTTATTTCATTTCAGTCATTCTGCTGTACAACAAATGTTGAATAAAATAACACAGTGAACTACTAGGAAATGGACCAATCAGGAATAATAAATCCACCTGAATATGTGAACGTAATCATTTGTAAGTTACGACGTTACCGTCATTACTACTTGCATATGTGACGGATCAAAAGATGACACAATTGATTGGCTGCTTTCATCCGGCGGCTGCCGGCTAGTTATTAGCGACTACACTGCTGATGTTTACGTGGGCAAGGTGTGTAAACTCTGCTCGCTCTTTCAAGCTTTCCACTCGATCTCTTGGGTGTTACTTGTTCAAAAGATTCAACAGGTTTCTTGTATCGCCTTGTTTTTGACAACATAGCACGCACAACAGCTTCCTCCTCCACGTCGCTTAGGGGAGGAACTTCTCTTGTCAAAATAGCGTTATATTCAGAAGTCATGGCTTCCGAGTAGCTGCGAGTTCAGCCGTACGTTTGGGCAATTGTATTACGATTACTTTCTGTTGACTGCTTCCTCTTTCATTGATTGACGCATTCAGTTTATTTCAAATTGCAAACCAACGTTGGAAGGAGGACCCCGATTGGCTAGAGTGGCGCATATTTCCGCCACGTCTCATGGAGCAAATATGCTCACAGCTCGGTGGTCTGTCTCTGTGCGGCCCGGTACCGAATGGGCCGTGGCCCGGTACTGGTCCGCAGACCGGTGGTTGGGCACCACTGTTCCAGATGACTCATCACTTGTGTACTGTATTCTCACGTCACAGACATTCGTGCATTTTAATGCAGCAACCATTAGTCGGCCCGGAGCGGAGCCTTCCTTCATACCTGCGACTTTTAATTATCAGTATGATATCAACGTTTCCAAGAAAGGGAATGCACACGTCCACCTCTCTGCCCAAAGCAAAATCCAGCAGACGTGATGCGCAACAAGTGATGAAATCCACTCCTCCGACACATCTGTCAAAGCAGCTGCTCCGTTTGACTCACCGTTTTTTTTTTCCTGCTATGGCAAAGTCTTGGCGCTCAGTCACCCTGACAGCAAGTCAACATCCCTTTCTATGGTCTCAACGCACACATCAACCACCTTGAATAATACTGACGGGACGGGACAGCAGATGAGTGAGGAGAAGGCGGGAGAGGGCGATCAGAATAATGGAGTGAGGAGCTGTTCTGCGAGAAAGATAATCAAAGTGAACCAGGCAAGGCCACATCTCCCTGTGATTCACACCCGATGACCAAGGGCCATAATTACTGTCAGACTTTAATTCCGATAGCAGCAAATTAACAGACTTGATCAAGCTTCTCTTGGCTTCTTGTACCAGGATTGCCTTGAATTCTCGACGACTGGAATATCACCTCTGCATAAACATCACTCTTCGATGTCATAGTGGTCTGCACACAAATTGACACAATTTAAAGGCTTTTTACAGGCCATCATCTCTATTCTCAGTGGAGTAGTGCCCTCTAAAGGTCACTTGTGTACACACACACACACACACACACACACACACACACACACACACACACACACACACACACACACACACACACACACACACACACACACACACACACACTCTAATGTGAGTGCCATAAGTGGTCGGGCAACAGTGTCTCTGCTCGGAGACATGACTATCTCTCTGAAATGTTAAATGTATGGCAAGCTCCGTCTGCATCACCCTAACATTTCCCAAGTCTCTTAGTGGATCGAGGCAATTCTAAATCACCCTCATCTCAAAAGTCATTTGCCCATTTCATGCAGATGATGGAAGCAAGTCTGCTTCCGGCTGTCTCTACTTACCAACCCCAAAATACACAAATCACAAGTCTGGATGAGAAAAATCAAAACAGGAAAAATGTTGCAAACGCAAATATCTTTTTAAGGAGCCAACACATTACTTGGGTGATGTGAGGACATAAAAACACAAATTGGGAAGAAATTGAAACGCTGATGCTTGAGAAACAGTGGTGGCCAAAATTAAACAGGGGAATGATGATGGAGAAGAGTGCTACTGAAAAATAGAGATCAACGAGCATACAAAATAGGGCCAAAGAACATGCCGGATCGCTTACAAAATTGGCAACCTTGAAATGATATGGACTAACTCGCACGTATCATTAGCTTTCTACAACAATACGTTTCTGTGCATGTCTTTGGCCGCTTATTGCCCAACCTTGTGAGGCAACCGCAGAAATCAAACCCATACAAAATAGGGCCAAAGAACATGCCGGGTCGCTTACAAAATTGTCAACCTTGAAATGATATGGACTAACCCGCGCGTAGGATTAGCTTTCCATAACAATACGTTTCTGTGCAGGTCTTTGGCCGATTATTATTGCGACAAATTGTCAGGACTAATGTTGGCATGTGAACATATTGTCGATAGTGTGACTGCCAGAAGTCAAACTACGCACACAGACAAAATTGTTGGAAGCATTCTGCTAGGGAAATAAAACCACAACATCAAAATATTTAGCTATCTATCCATGAATCCCTTTTTGTGCGCCACCATAATTAACTATGAAACAAACTCAGGAAGCTGGCCTGGATAAAAGCGATGGAATCCTTCAGGTATTATTTGGTTGCCCAACCTTGTGAGGCAACCGCAGAAATCAAACACGTTTTACAACTCTCCAAGAAACTTCTGTCGCCTGTTAATAGGTAGTCATTTCACCAAGACCGGGTAAACAAAATGATACCGTCGTTTTGTATTTGAACGGTGCCTTCACCAAAGTAGGATTTAGATCGGGACTCAAAGAAGCCGATGTCAGGAATTTGCTCTTTGTCATGCTTCAGCGGCTCCGTGGCTCACCGTAGGTAGTTATAAGTTTCTGATGAATGTGTCACGATTATGCTCGCAACCATATATCTTTGCAATATGCATTAGGGCATTCCGTTTCAAGTTATTTCAGCGCCAATTCAGCGGTCTTCTTTCTTGGAAGGGTACCATCCATTTTGTCCAGATTCGAGTGCTCCAGATGCTAACTTAAAAAATAAATAAAAGGCCATTCTAAGAAAGAGACAGCCAAAGAGTAGCGATCCATCAGACGCGATTACGTATCTGATGAGCGCTCTCGTAATGACAGAACATTTCGGCAGCCATACAAAGTCATTATAGAGCTAATGGAGCTCTTTAAAAATGTCACAGGAAAAAACAGAGATGACGACACAGGAGGTACCGAAATTGTTTGAAAAGAGAATGTTTATACATTGAAAGAATTGTCCGAAAAAAAAAGTCATTTTAGACTTTGACAAAAGACGACCCACGACTCAGTTTGTTGAAGCCTTTCATTCCCATGCCCCCTTGTTCTAATTCTCCTCATCTTTCTCCATGAATGGGTGCCAGTTCTTTTCCTGCTCAATAGCGCACATGGGCCATTATTCATTAGATGAGCAGTGTGGGCAGTGCGATTGTTTGGTCAAGAATGTAGTTGTTGTGGAGGATTTTAGGGGCATTTTTAAGTGGTCATCCCATGTTCACAGAGACGGCAACCACTTCTCATGAGAGGTGGGACGATTCACTTACCTCCCGATTCGATTCAAATCACAATACCGGTGTGACGATTAGATTTATATCGCGATTATATACTCCAATTTGAGATTCAATATCACGGTTATTGGTATTTTTTTCAAACAATTCTAAACAATATAAACCATAAGCATGACATACGTTGAATCATGTACTTAAATCGATGCAGTCAGATGAAAGTCAGTCACATTTATTTAAGAAAGAGCCGACTGCGTGGCTCAGGCGCCGGCTCATTCAAATGACTTAGTGTGACACTGCTGAATGATGAAGGCCACTGACCCGCCACAACAAATTGGCTGCGTGCTGCCATCTGCTGGAGGAAAGCGGTAGCTTCACCTTTGCTTTTTGAAAAATCATGAAAATCGATTCTGAACTTTGACATCGATTGATTGAATCTTGGCAACTAAAATTCCGATAGTTGAGTGAATCGATTTGTTTTGCACACCCCTACTTCTCATGTTGCGTTTCAAGACTTGAAATGAGAGGAGATTTACTTTCAAAGAATGAATATTCACACACAAACGCTGTAATCACACAAACAGACTGGAACTATAAGAAAACTCACAGCCGCAAGGATATACTCTTCCTCATTTGTGAAAATGGACTAATAATCAAGTTAAATCTCGACTTTTTTCCCTCTACTCGTTTGGTGTGGATGTAAGCACAAGTCTCCATGCATGCGCTACACTACACTGCCCCTGAGAGGCCAAGGTGCATACAGCAGGTATTTATTATTTATTCATTCATTGAATGTTATTTGAATACAATATTTTGCTTGGTATCAATTTATTTCTGGGTTATTCTTTTAAGTGATATTTAAAGTTAAGTTTGACCAGATGAATGTTTTTCAATCAACAAATAATCCATCCATCCATTTTCGAATCCGCTTATGCTCGCAAAGGTCGCGGGCGCGCTATAGACTATCCAGCTGTCTTTCGGGCAGTAGGCGGGGTACACTCTGAACTGGTTGCCAGCCATTCACAGTCAACGAAGAATAATTTTAATTAAAATCAATCATAATTAGCGTGATGACTTTTTTTTCCATAATTGCCCAGCCCTACGCTTATAAGTCCCCGGTCTAAGTCAACAGCAGGAAGGACCCAAATGTCATAAAAGGACAAGGATGTCAATGAAAATTTGATGAGGAAAAACTGTTTCATATGGTGTCCGTCTAAATGTTTAATGACAATCCAGATGTTGTTCTTAAATGAGACGCTAACACTGTGATAATAATCCAACAAACACATTCGGTAGACCGACACTCAATGACACACACTAACAGCAAGTCTCTCTAACAGCTGAATGAATCAGTCATGCTGTGCTTACAACCACCAGTGGGATGGCAAGAAAACAAGAGGAAAACAACTGAGATTGCCTCAAACCATCTGGAAGACCGAACATATTTTATGCATTCCTTCCCAAATGTAAAACTGCAGCATGTAATGCAAAACAAGCAATCAATTGATGGAGCGCTTTTCGCTATCCTCTCTTCTCTGAAGATGCGAACGGAGTGCGGTAAGATAAAATTCTGATTGTGCCGTGAAAGTTTGGGTCCTTTCCCTAACAGAAAAGCACAACCTTCTGCCGATAGTATTTGTTTCTCCCCCAAGCTTGAATATCTGTTTAACTTTTCAATGTACTTTTGTTCTGAAAAATGTTGTGATGGGGTGGGGGTTGCTTTGAGTGAAGAGGCATATAGTTGACAGGTAGATAACAGCTGGATGAAAAATACTGCAAAGTCAGTGATGTGAAAAGATCGAAAACACATGGGGTGAATGGTGAATAAAATCATGGAAAGGACACAAGAGCAATGTTTGCTTTTACAAGACCTCTTTCATACTTTGCCAGTCTTACTAATCTGCTAAAAACTTAAAATGCCGGGTAACTACGAACAATATTATCACCCCCTCAAAAAAAGTTCTCTCTCTCTCTGTCTCTCCCTCGCTTTTTGGCAGAGTTCTCTCTCTCTCTCTGTCTCTCCCTCGCTTTTTGGCAGGTGTTTAAACGGTAATCATTGTGTCAGCCCTATGTTCAACAGAGTGCCATCGAGAGGTCTCAACACGACAACTGGTTCATGAAGCATCTTGAAGCTTCATTTTCCCATCACTACTGAAAGCGCTTGACAAAATACATAAAAACACACATGACTGTGATTTGTGAGCATCATGTGCGCCAGGACACTAAAGGCCTAGATATTTCTGTTCAACGTTTTGCTGTCACAATAACCACCGCTGCTAATTGGCTTAAATATCTGTGTGATTATGTCTGATAAATGGAGATGGTGAAAAACAATGTGACTAAACGTACACTGCCAAATAGTTCTCAGAAAAACTTCAACTGTAATTGTTGAGAATCGTAATTGCATCATCTACAAGGACTGGGTTTGTGCTCATCATCAAGCTATGTTGTTCACGTGATGTGCATAAAACATGCATAAAATGAAAGATGAACTTCAAGTGTGTGCGCACGACTATGCCTGTGGGAGAGTCATAACCTCCGACCCCCAACTAAACCTCCTGCCTCACTTCCAAGTTTCAAGAGCTCACAGGAAATACGGACATAGACTGCGAAAACACCATCCACATGTGGACTGAATAAGAACAAGCAGCCACACACCCATGCGCAACATTGAAACCCTTTTTTAGTCTAATTTTAGACAATCACTGAAACGGCCACATTTAAAGCAAATGACACTTCTATAGGGAAGAAAAAAAGTTCACAAAAATAGAAGGCGTCTGAGAGAGCCTCGAAGGAGGATCTTTGTCATGTCTGTTAAGCAAGTCGGTACTTGATGGTTTCTACGTGACAACGATCTACACAGTGACAAATGTAGCACAACTGGCAGAGTGGGTCCCGCGACACATAAAGAAAAATGACCACACAAATGTCTTACCCGCTCTTTGTGAACCGAAAGTGAGAGCAACTCTGCTGAGCAAATCAGGCTTGGCGTATTGGTCATCATTGGCGAGCACCCAGAAACAGCATTCTGACATTTCCTGGGGATTAATCTGGATAGAAAACAAAATAAAACAAACAAAAATCCCCAAATCACACGTTAGTCAATTCATGTTTTGGAGAACTTGTTGAATGTTAAATTGTCCAAATCCTTTCAGAAATTTCAGAACTCTCAACAGTCACAGATTTCGGTGGTCGTCCACGAAAGCAGCAACCCACCAAATCACACCGAGCAGATGGAAAATCAATGACATTAAAATCCTATACTGTACATACAGTACTATATAGGGTACACTTTATTTTCATGGGAAGGAGAAATGATTCTTTGAAAATATCTCAAAAAGTTTGATCCCATGTGGCTGGTTGATGCAGCCCTCATCATGTCCTCCTGAAATGTTGCTTTCGAATTTCAAGCATATGTTTTAGTTTGTCGAACATCTGTACATATGTACAGCTGACATTAAATAATTAATCACGGCACAAACTAACACCACTTGCAGTGTGAACCAATATCGCCCCGTAGGGAACAACATCCGTCGCGGTGCCACTCAGTGGGATCTAACAGAAGCATGCCATCATCTGTTATTTTCAAGAATTGCCGTCTTCGCACAGAAGCTTGTTGTTCAGGCCCGGAAAAACAAGTGTGTTGCTGCCAATAAATGTCAGGGACAAAGTGAAGAGCGGAGAAAAGGGGGCACTGAATTCAAGTTAAACTTTTGGTTACTCATTTTATCAAGACTGGATGAGGAGTAGATGCTGTCGCTATCAATACACGGGAGAATATTTTAAACCGGTAATCAAACGGCATTGCTTGCCGAGTGCACGCCTTTTAAACAACAGGCCCATGCTTCGCTAACGTTTGCAAATGTTACGCATTATAACCCACTTTTGAGTGTTTAGCATTAACTTGTCTGACTTGGCACTATTGCGATATATACACATTTGTCTGGGAAAAAAAGAAAGAAAAAAGAAACTTTAAACCTAGCACAACATGGATAAAATGGAGATGTATTTATATTTAACCGCGTTTTAACACTTGTACTTACCTTGGACCAATTCAGGCGCTTGGTGGAATTCTCAGGCTTGAATTCCTTCTTAGGCTTGAGGCCATAAGGCAGCACAAGGCAAGCGGAAAAGCCTGAACCGCATCCAAATCCGAGTGGGGGTAGAGGAGGCGCACCGAATGGAGGAGGCGCTCCGGGTGGAGGAGGGGGTGCCGGGCAACCGGGTAACGGAGGAGGCGGTGGCGGAGGAGGAGGAGGAGGAACTGGCAACCTCGATGCCGGGTTACAGGGTGAAACCCCACAAGGTACCGAAGAAGAACGAGACAACTCCTGCGCGCCGCCGCCAGATGACACAACCGCTGGTACAACTCCATTCTGGATACATGGATCAATCGATGTAAGCACGTAAAGTGAAAGTGATAGCCCCCCCAAAAAAACCCACTAAACTATTAGTTGTAGTAATTGCAGTTTGGTCTGGCAGTAAATCCATATTTAGTTAACTTGGGCTTCTTTGTCTCCAATAGTTAAGTCCCAAACATGCTGAGGACACCAACAGTGACGGCGACAAGTGGTCCATCGATCCTAAAATCCTTTTTGGGTTAAGGATGCACAATGGGGGTTAGCCTTAATCTTTGGTTAATCGGACGTCATTTATGGTCAAATTCACGGTGAGCATTTGAGTTGGATTATTCAGGCTCATAAAAGTGGCGAGACAGATGGTGTGTAAGGACCGTTCGTAAACCTGCCACGGCCATTGAAACGACGCTGCTATTTGAGTACTCCTTCTGTGTTCTTTGCTGTCAAATTGAAAATTTATCAAGCAAAGACAATGAAAATCCTCCTCTGAGGCTGCAGATCAGGGGGAGTAGGCTAGTTGAAGTGGATGAGGATTGTGAAAAGAAATTGTTTTTAAAACAATTTGCTCAAATGGAATAGCCATAAAAGTCAGAAATGGTCGACGGGCGCCTGTGTTGTCATTAGACGGTGTCAGTTTACCAGTAGACAAGCTTCAGTGCCATCAAAACATTCGGCTTGGGTGGGGAACAAATTTAAAAAAAAAAAAAAAAAAAAAAAAATAAAAAAAAAAAAAACAAACAACAACATTATTTCGTGTAGCCCGTGTGCTCATACGAGTATTTACCCGCTCGGTGCTGCTAACGGCTTTTTTGGAGATTGTGTGGTTT